CCCCCCCCCGGGGCGCTGCCCAGGCCGGGCGGGGGGCCCGGGGAGCGAGGGGATCACGTCCCCGGACATCCCCCGGCATCTCCTCCTCCTCTTCTTCCTTCTCCTCTTCCTCCTTCCCCTCATTTCCCCGCTTCCTGCTTCTCCTTCTCCTTTTCCTTTCCCTCCTCCCCCTGCTTCTCCTCCTCGTCCTCCTCATCCTCCTCGTCCTTCTCTTCCTCCCTACTTCCGTCCCGTTCTCCCTCCCTTCCCCCTCCTCCTGCTCTTCGGGGCTCAAGAGACGGGGGTCGATGCAAACGGGGGTCAGCCCGGGGCGCCGGATCTCGTAGGATCCTGCAGCGTCAGGTTTGCACTGATCCAGGCTTGGGCGCAGGATCCTGCAAGATGTTGCAGGATCCTGGGAGGCCTGCTTGACCTGGGTCTGGTTTGGCCTGGGTCCGTTGATCCCCGCACTTGATTTCTTGCTGTCCGGCACGCACACGAAGACTTCATGGCTTGGGTGTGGCTCCCTCTCGGAGGAACGCCAACACTACACCAGCACCAGGCCTCCAGGTCCCTGGACCCTGGACTCCGGACGCCATCCTGGACCCTGCACTGGTGTACAGACCTCCAGGCCTGGGCCAGGAGAGCCCGTACAGTCGGGGCGCTGAGGAAGGAACCCTTTTTGTTTGGGAGGGGCTCAGTGTTCCTTAGTCGTTCTACAGTTCGCCTTTGGTATGCCTATGGTTTTCAATGGGAAATCGAAGCTTGACTTATGGAAGACAGGGGCCTCGTTCCTTCTTTGGGGTTCCTTAGGTCAACGCCCCGACTGTACACCAGTTCAGGGCCCAGGATGGGCCTGTCCAGGGCTGGTGGTGGTGTATGGCTTGGAGCTCTCCTGCCATCGCCCCCGGTGCGGGCATGATTCATGTCCATATCCAGTGCCTTTTGGACTTTCTTGGAAGCGGCGCCACAGGGCAGAGGCGCACTGGATAGGGATAAAAATCGAGCCTCTGGGGGGCAAATTCATCCATGTCCAGTGCGCCTCGGGTTTCTTGGGAAGGGAGCCCGAAACTCCATACTGTAGTGGATATAGACAGAAGTTTTGCCCGCACCCGGGGGTTGGAGCTCTCCTACAGTCGGGGCCCTGAAGAAGGAACCCTTTTCGTTGGGGAGGGGCTCCGCGTTCCTTAAGTGTTTCGCAGCTTGCCCTGGATGTTCCTTATGTTTTCGACAGGAAATCGAAGGTTCACGCATGGACAAAAGGGGCCTCGTTCCTTATTTTGGGTTCCTTAGGTCAAGGCCCCGACTGTATGGCTTGGAGCTCTCCTGCCCTCGCCCCACGGGGCCCCTGCGGCCGCCTCGCCGTCGTGCCCTGCCGTGCCCCGGCGTGCCCCCGCCGCTGCCCGGCCGCCGCCGTGCTCTCTCGCGGCCACCGGCGGGCACGCGTCGGCCACGACGGGGCGGAGGTCTGCATCTGAGCCGTGGAGTGGTTCAGAGGAGGAGGAGGAGGAGGGAGGAGGAGGAGGAGGAGGAGGAGGAGGAGGAGGAGGAGGAGGAGGAGGAGGAGGAGGAGGAGGAGGAGGAGGAGAGGAGGAGGGAGGGGGAGAGGAGGAGGAGGAGGAGGAGGAGGAGGAGGAGGAGGAGGAGGAGGAGGAGGAGGAGGAGGAGATCGAGGAGGAGGAGGAGGAGGAGGAGGAGATCGAGGAGGAGGAGAACGAGGAGCAGGAGGAGAACGAGGAGCAGGAGGAGGTACCCAGACCTCTATACCTTTCCCTCGTGTTCCCCCTTTTTGGGCCTCCTGGGAGACCCCAAAGGGGGCAGGCCTCCTGTGGCGGAGGTTCGTATCTAAGCCAGAGTGGTTCAGAGGAGGATGACACATATTCTTTAAACAACTCTTGAACTTGAGTCGTGTACTTTCTTGCGTGGGTGGTTGTCTCAACTGAACTCGAGCTGTGGGCAAGCTACGGAGCTATCAAGTACATTTCCATGATACCGCACATTCTCGCGCGCGCTGAATGCGAGATTGCCACGCTCGCATGCCATTCGCATACATGGCACGGAAGGAAAATGTATACATACCTCTACCTTTCCCTCGTTTTCCCCTTTTTGGGCCTCCTGGGAGGCCGTCGTTGCCACCGCTTGATTCGCTTCGAAAGTCCAGGCAGAACGCACCCCGTGAGAGGTCTGGGGAGTAGCGGTATCGGTGCCGTTTGGTATCCCCAGTGGTGGGGGGTTCGGGCGAAGGGATCTATGCACATGCACCGATCTTGGCCAGGCCCATCCTTGGCCCAGGATCGGTGCACATGCCTCCCTGGCCAAGGCAGGAGGGCGCATGCACCAATCTTGTGCTCAGGACGGGCCTGGCCAAAATCGGTGTATGTGCATAGTTATTTTCCCCCCTAGGGGTAGCGCAGATGGGGTGGCCGGAGTAGATGCAACAGTACTTGCAGGAACTGTTGCACATGTGCAGTCGTTGGCGGTCTGGGTGACCTAGTTGCCCAGGGGTGCAGTCGTGTGTTCTTTCAACCGCAGTAGTTACCGCCGCCTGTAGCAGTTCGCGCTCCCCAGCGACAGGTTGCACAAGAGTTCGCGCAATAGTCCGCGCAAGCGAGCTATTGCACCTTCCACCGTTCCGCCGTTGGCGTTGCCCCCTCGCTCGAGTCTGGAGTGCCTCCTCTTCCTCCTCCTCCTCCTCCTCCTCCTCCTCCTCCTCATCTTCGTCTTTCTCGCGCGGAAAATGAGTTCGTGGGGAAGTTTCGGTGTGGCTTTTTAATTGGGGGGGCAGGAGTTGTGTTTCGCATTGGCGGATACAGTCCAACCTTCCTGGGATAAGGTGCATTCTTTTTTCGAAAGGGGCTCGTGATTCTTGAGGTCGTTCCATGGTTTCTCTTCGAATTTGTTTCGTGTATCTAGGTGCAGCCGATTCCCGTCGGGCGTGCCGTGCAGTTTTGGTGTCGTGCCGTGCAGTGCCGTGCCTCAAGACTTACGGAGTTGCGGAAGGTTTCAAAGGATCCCAAGGTCCAGGAGTGTTCCAAGAGGTCCCCCCCAGGGCCGGACCTAAACGTTGTTTTGCTGGACTTCGGCTGTGGATTGTTTTTCTTTTTTCGTTTTGGAAGGGAGATACAGGAAAACAGGTCGAGCAAAACGAAAAACAAAACGAAGCCCAAGCCCACAACAGCGTTTAGGTCCAGCCCTGGTCTCCCATGTGGTTGAATAGTGCCTTGCAGTGGCATGCGCAGCGCCGTCTGTAGTTAAGCCCTCGTCTTGCAGTGCATGCTGTCACCCCGGACAGCCCCTCACTCACATCCGCGCGTGGGGGGTTCGTGGTATAGAGGAGGGCACGTGGCGGGGTGTGGAGAGGACTGATGAGAGAGGAGGGGGCAGGGGGCAGGGCTAGTTTCGATTCCTCCGATTTCGATTCGATTCGATTTCGATGTCTTCCGATTCCGATTCGATTCGACTTCCGATTCCGATTTGATTCCGATTTCTTGCTGGAGGCATATTAGTTTGCCAATTTCCGCTGATTCGACTTCTCCCGACTCGACTGCCGATTTCCGCCGATCCGATTAATTTCGATCGCCGATCCGACATCGATTCGATTCTGGGCTCTCCTGAGGAGGAGGTGGAGGGACAGGACCAGTGCAAACCATAGACTCATCAACGATATTGAAGTGAAGCCTCCCTCCAAGTTCCCTCTTCATAGGTCCCTACATAAGTTCACTGAGGGAAGCGCCCCGTTGAAGGACAACTGTTTGGAAATCAGGAACCGTTCCAGGACACAATATGTGGGACTCCCAAGTCGCGAATCAACGCTGTTGTTGCGCCCTGACGATCCGGGAGCGTGCCAGAACATCATTCCAGGAATTTCAACACCTCAAATCGACGTGATTGTTTTGCCCTTGCAGTCCTACATTGTGCGAACACACTATTGGAGAGGCCTGACGGCCAGTGCCGCCGACCCTGATCGAAGGGGCTAGGAGGAGGAGGAGGAAGAGGAGGAGGAGGAGGAGGAGGAGGAGGAGGAGGAGAGGAGGAGAAGGAGCAGGATGAGGAGCAGCAGGAGGAGGAGGAGCAGGAGGAGGAGAGGAGGTGGAGGAGAGGAGGGGGAGGAGGAAGAGGAGGAGGAGGAGGAGCAGCAGGAAGAAGAGGGGAAGGAAGGACGAGGTGAAGGAATAGAAGGAGGATTCGGAGGTGGAGGAGGAAGAGGAGAAGATGGAAAAGAAGGAGGAGGAGGAGGAACAAGGTGAGGAGGAGAAAGGAGGAGGAGGAGGAGGTGAGAAGGAGAAGGAGTAGGAGAAGAGGACAAGGATGATGTTGATGTTGATAGGATGATGATGATGATGTGATGATGATGATGATGATGATGATGATGATGATGATGATGATGATGATGATGATGATGATGATGATGATGATGATGATGATGATGATGATGATGATGATGATGATGATGATGATGATGATGATGATGAGTAGGAGGAAGAGAAGGAGGAGGGGGAGGAGCAGCAGGAGGAGGAGGAGGAGGAGGAGGAGAAGTGGGAGGAAGTCCTCGCGACGCCCCCCGGGCTTTCTCGAAGCCTGCCGGGGGAGCCGGATCTGGGGGGGGGGGGTGGGGGGGGGGGGTCCCCCCGGGACCACCCCTGGGTCCGCCCCCCCCCCCCCCCGCATCGGGGAAGGGAAAAGGGAAAGGGCTTCCCTTCGAAGTACTGACGACGTGCAATCAATTGCTTGGCGCGGCAGGTGCAAGGACGAGGGCTCCACTGGCGGAGAGCGGGGGAACCGGTGAGCGGAAGCTGGATTCGGCTAGAGGAAGTCGAGCAGGAACAAAAACACGACGCGATCCGAGAATCAAGCAGTGGCGAATCGTTCTGGCTCGCCTATACATAGCCCTACCAAACAATGTTCTAAGAACCTTTGTGTGGTTTCCACGAAATGTTCTCAGAACATTTCTGGCGGAGTCTGTCTTGTTTTAACGCATCGGGTTTATGTTCTAAGAACATTGTCGTTGTTCTTAGAATATTTTTGGGTTCTCAGAACATTTCGTGGTATGACTATAGGAATGCCGGGACGGACGGTCCCTGATCAAGGGAAGCCTTTCACACACGCCGACAGGGTCGGCGGATTTGGGGGACGTCAGCCGTGACAATCCTTGAAACCGCTGTAAACTCCTAAGACGAATGTGCGCAGCGTGAAGGCGAGAGCAATGTTGTGAAAAGCAGACACCCTCCATCCGTGAAGCGAACGCAAGCTTGTCAAATGAATGTGAGCGATGCTAAGGCGAGATCCGTGAGGGTTCTGCAGACTGTTAAGACGAGTGTACGCCGCGCTAGGGCGAGAGCGGCATTTTGAAGCGGCCCGCCCTCCATCCGTGAAGCTGTGGCAGCACCTCAGCTCAAGGATCAGAGATACGTTTCGGGGTGCGGCAGAGTCTCTGTTCAACCGTAGATTGCAACAATCCACATATTGCTACAGCAGCAATGATGATTCCGCAAACTTGCTGTCTAGCAGATTGGCTTAGATATCTGAGATGTTCTGGATATGAAGATCTCCTTGCAAGATTCTGAACGTCTCGGGATGCGACAGGTAGGAGTTATCTGTAGGGGAAAAGGGATGGGGGAGACGGGCAAAAGCAAAAGGAGGAGGAGAAGGAGGCGGAGGCGGAGGCGGCGGGGGATAGAAAGAGGAAGGAGTAGGAGGAGGAGGAGGAGGGGGAGGAAAAGGGGGAGGAGCAGGAAAAGCAGTGCAAACTCGAGACGCATCAAGGATTCCCTCTCCAGAGGTCCCTACAAGGATTTGTCGTCACTGCGGGAAGTGGCCCGTTGGAAGACAACCGCCTGAGAATTTTCAACCTTGCCAAAACACCATCCTTGGGACTTCCAAGCCGCGAATCAACGCTACTGTTTAGTTCTGACAGTCCAAATTCATGCTAGTCCATTCTCAGGATTTCAACGCTGCTAACCAACTGGACTGTCGCATCCTCACAGTCCAACATCGTGCCACACCATTTTTTCTGTGAGGTCAGCTATAAGAATCCATAATATTGCTGTAAAATCTTAAGACGAATGTGCGCGGCGCTCAGGCGAGAGCCACATCTTGAAAAGGAGCTGCCCTCCACCCTTCGATATCTTGCAAACTTGTTTGACGAATGCGCGCGGCGCTAAGGCGAACGCTACATTTTGAGAATGACCCGCCCTCGATCCGTGAAACTGTCGCACATGGAAAGCTTCAGGATTTTAAAAAGGTGAAAAAGTCTCCAACGAAACGCCCAGCCCGCCATACCGACCAGTTTCGGGGTGCGACGGGGAAGAGAGGAGGAGGAGGAGGAGGAGGAGGAGAAGGAGGGGGAGGAGGAGGAGGAGGAGGAGGAGGAGGAGGGGGAGGAGGAGGGGAGGGGAGGAGGAGGGGGGAGGAGAAGGAGGAGGAGGGGGAGGTGGAGGCGGAGGAGGAGGAGGAGGAGGAGGAGGAGGAGGAGGAGGGAGGAGGAGGAGGAGGAGGAGGAGGAGGAGGAGGAGGAGGAGGAGGAGAAGAGGAGGAGGAGGAGGAGGTGGAGGAGGAGGTAGGAGGAGGAGGAGGAGGAAGGAGGAGGAGGAGGAGGAGGGGAGGAGGAGGAGGAGGAGGAGGAGGAGGAGGAGGAGGAGGAGGAGGTGGAGGAGGAGGAGGAAGAGGTAGGAGGAGGAGGAGGAGGAGGAGGAGGAGGAGGAGGAGGAGAGAGGAGGAGGAGGAGGAGGAGGAGTAGGAGGAGGAGAGAGGAGGAGGAGGAGGAGGAGGAGGAGGAGGAGGAGGAGGAGGAGGAGGAGGAGGAGGAGGAGGAGGAGGAGGAGGAGGAGGGAGGAGGAGGAGAGGAGGTGGAGGAGGAGGAGGAGGAGGAGGAGGGAGGAGGAGGAGGAGGAGGAGGAGGAGGAGGAAGAGGAGGAGGAGGAGGAGGGAGGGAGGAGGAGGAGGAGGAGGAGGAGGAGGAGGAGGGAGGGGAGGAGAGAGTGGAGGAGGAGGAGGAGGAGGAGGAGGAGGAGAGATGAGGAGTGCGATCCTCCTCGGCCTCTCGAAAAGGTTCTCGGGCTCCACCTACCTCCAGTCGCAGCTGGCCCGGGCCTCGCGCGTTTCTGCTTCGCAGCTGGAGGTGCCCGCCGGAGCGATGGACAAGAAGAAGGCCGACGAGAACACGTACACCATACACCCGGCGGGAAGGGGGAGGATGGGGAGGAAGAGGCGGAGGAGGAAGCAGGAGGGGCACGATGATGGAGGAGAAGAGGAGGACGAGGATGAGGAGGAGGATGAGAATGGAAAAAATGATAATGGAAAATGTTGGAGGATGAAGAGGGTGAGGGGAGGGGGAAGGGAGGTGGAGGAGGAGGACGAGGCGGAGGAGGCGGAGGAGGAGGAGGATTAGGATGTGATTTGGGAGAGGAGGGAGGAGGAATAGTGCGGAGGATGAGTATGAGGACGACAGGATGGATTAGAAGTTGCAGGAGAAGGATGGCGCGGGTGGGAGGCGGAGAACCAGGAGGAGGAGTGGATGGACAA